GGAAGGAAGATTGGGCAATCTATTACCATAGTGATATCGTCTCAGAAACCCAAGGAGGAGTCGCTATGAGTTGGATCCAACTTGACGGCAGTGAGTTATGCATATTTATGTATATATGCACATATATACATATGTATATGTTTTAAATTTGTTATCATTTCAAGCATTTAATGTAATTTAAAATAACATTATTATAAAATTCACATTTTATTTTGAGTGGTCTCCATACATCAGATGCTGCTATTCCAAGTAGATGTATGAATGGACCTGGCAGATGGCATAGATTGGCAGCAACCTAGGGTGAATGATTCTGTGATTCTGTGGTCTTCTGGCTCTTGGCCCATTTCTGTGACCACTAAACATATCATGGTATGTGTTCTGCCCCTATTTCTCACTTCATATTACTTCTACCATGGTAAATATAAGGAGAAGGCATAATTACTTATAAAACAGAATATTTTTTAAAAATTAAAATTTTCAGACATTTTATGTTATTTTATATTTGCAAAATAATAAAATAATGAAGATTTACATTTTTATGACAGATATTTTAGATCTTTAGCTTATTGCACCAATTGGTTAAAGTAAAGTTGAGTTGATATATTTATCTGGGTTATTAGGGCCATGTACTTATTATGTTTTTTGGGAAAAAAGTGTATTTTTGAAGGGAAAATAAACACAGATGGAGTTATATTTTCAGGCTATTAAAACTGAACTTTCTCTCCAAAATAGAAGCCACTGAGTAAACCTCTTGCTAAACAAATCCTAGTGATTAAAAAAAAAAAAAAAAGCTTAAAATGTTTTTCCTTTACTGGATAAAGGAGAGTACCTTTTCAGGATTTCCAGTTATTGTCTGAAATTTGAAAAGAGTTCTTAACTCCACCCAAAGAACTTTTTTTTTTTTTTTTTTAAAGGTTGTGGGGAGTGGAGGGAGGAGGGAGGAGGGAGAAAAAAAAAATCATTCAAAGAATGCTTACAAGAGTTCTTTCATGCACATGTTTTCAAGCACTGCTATTTTGGAATTCATAAACTGTGCTTCCTCTCTTTCAAGAATCCATGTACATTCTTAGAAAAATCGTTTAAATCATCTTAACAGAAAACTAGACTTTTGTAGTTATCAGAAAAATAATAAGGAAGAAGACAGTAAACAATAAAATGTTATATATCATAAATGAATAATTAATGTTAAAATGTGGTTTTTAGTTGCATTTGTTTTCAAAATTAAAAGGCCTTGGCACCATTTAAAATGAGCTAAAAATAGTACAAAATATAATTTAGGTCATTTGAGACTGTTCATAAGTAGATAGATAAGGTAATTTGAGCCTCACTGCTGAGTCCTCTCCCTGGTCACCCACTGAAATAATCAGAACTGAGTGAAGATGGTTAACCTTTAATTCTGTTTCCTTCAACTGACTTTGCTGTTTCAAAAATTAACAGTTAATAGTGATTTGTTTTTAAAGAGATCACACTAGCTAACTTTCAATGTACCTTTTAATTGAAAAATATTATTTTACTCGGGACCTTTCTTTTTAATTATTTTCTATTCTAAATGTGAGTTAATTTTGGTAGTAAATTCAGATCTTTCCTC